CCCCCCCGGATCTTATTGCAGGCTGTGAAAATCCCAAGCCTTGCCAGTCAGAGCTAATCGTGCTCGAGCACGGGTCCTACAGCGGAGACCCCGTAACCAAAGTGCTGCTGCAGCCACTGACAGGTAGGAGCTGGGAGCCAGTGGGGGCTGCTGCTGCTGGGGCTGCACGGATGGGCAGCAGAGGTGCTGCAGCGGGACCTGCGCTTGCAGCCCTGCACCTTGGTTGCAGCGTGGTGACAGAGTAAAAAAGCCTAGAAAGGTCTGAGCGGAGCTGAGAGCCAGGCTCAGCTCGTGGAAGCCTCAGGTTCTCAGCCTGGGCAGGGGGACAGATGCCATTTGGTGTCACTTGGCACCACTGTCCCCTCGAGGAGGGATTCGGGGATAACCTGTGTCCCCGATTCCTCCACTCCTGCTCTCTGCCCTAGGGCGGACTCATCAGCTCCGGGTTCACTGCAGCGCCATCGGCCACCCCATCGTGGGGGACTTCACCTACAGCCACAAGAAGGACAGCAGTCCCTACAGGATGATGCTCCACGCCTACTACCTGCGCATCCCCACCGGCAAGGAGCTCGTCGAGGTCTGCGCGCCCGACCCCTTCGTCACCGCGATGGACAGCAACTGGGTGCCCCACCACGTCCTTCACCGGCTGGATGAGACCATCCAAGAGCTGAAGGACAAGGTGATGCAGAAGGGGGAGGAGGAGGAGAGCCAGGCGGCCGTGCTCGGTGGCGGAGGAGAGGAGGCACGGAGCGAAGCCAAGAGCCCGGAGGCGGAGGAGCAGCGAGCCCGGTGCGAGCAGTGGTTGGCCGAGTGGGCTTTGGAGTGAGCACAAACCACGTCTCTGCATTTCCAGCCCAACGCTCCATTTTCGTCCCAGTGGGTCCCCACAGAGCCCAGCGCTGACTCCGCTTTCTGTTCGCCATGGCTTCCCTCACTTCTGGGGCTGGGATTAGGCAGATTTTAGCAACGGATGGGTTTCTTTTTTTAACGTACACATCATCCATCTGGCCTCTGGATGCCCCTTTCCTAATTTTGGGCCTCAGCAGCAGAGTCAGTGTGTCACATACCAGCTTAGAGTGACCCCAAAGCTTTACATCCCGGTCCCGGGGCTCGGGCACAGCCGGGGCAGCACCGCTGCTGCCTTTGCCAGGAGCGCGGTGGACGTATCAGGGTGGGAAAACAGCAGCAAAGGGAGGGGAGAACACGCCAGGTGCAGCCTCGGTGTCCGGGTCCCCAGTTCCCAGCCCGCTGCGCTCCCTGGCGCACGCGTTGGGTGGGAGAGGAGGAGGCTGAAGTACAGCCCCGGGGGGCACCGACAAGCCCCCCTAGTCCTGGGGCGGCCCCGGGGCGTTTTGCCCACGGAGCTGGGCTGTGCGAGGGGCGCAGGAGAGGTCCCTGCCTGCCCCGAGGACGTGCTGCCTGCCCGTCCCTGCCTGCCCACGCGCTTTCCTCCTGCCTCGGCCCACGCGTGGTTTGGGTTTGTTTTTTTTTTAAAAGGTTCGTTGAAGGTGAGCGAGTCGCTACGGGTGAATTTTAAACTTTTTTCCAATTTCTATGAGAACCTGGTCTTTTAGCGGTTCTGAAATACGGGTGGTCTCAGAAATGAGCGTGGTTTTAGTACTTCTGTGGTCAGGTAGCCAGCGGCCCAAAGCTTTTTTAATAGATTTTATTATTCCTTCTACTAGCATTGCCTTTTCCTAGCGCCTGCTTTTATCCTGGGGGGTGGATGTAGCCCCTGCTGAGACGGGTCAGGAGACACAAGCCCCTTTCTGCTTTACCCAAACGCCGGGAAGAAGTATCATTTTTTGGGCCCATCGCGTGGCTCCTTGCTGGCAGGGTGCAGCGGGGGTGTCAGTACCGGGGGCACATCCCCAGGAGCAGCTGAGGAAACAGTTGAAGCTGAAAGAAAGGCTGAGGACTGATGAGAAGAGCGGGAAGGAGCTCAGCTCCTGCTGGCCCTCAGGCTTCGCCAGATGCCAAGAAGAGGTTCGCTGGAAACGCCCTTGCTTTGCCAATGGGCGGCTTTGCTCGCTCCTCCCCGCCCTGCTCGTCCTCTGCAGCCTTTAGAGGACATTTAGAAAGCGAAGAGAGAGCGGGGCGGCTGGCGGGGGCTGGGGAGGGACAGAGGTGGCAGGAGCCCGTCACGTACAGAGCACCCGTCCCCGGGGTTTTGGGCACCGAGCCGCCACATCAGCGTGTGCCC